GTCAGCACTCTTTCCTTTTAGGGTGAATATACCACAAATCCCACAACTGGCATGCCCAAATTTCACATCAATCTAAACACGTATCACAGAACTACCCAGATCTTTATGTCTCTGTACCATATTAAGGAGGTTCACCTGCCTTGGGCCTTAAATTGGCAGGAGGGTGGGTGGTAGGTGGGAGAAAGCTTAACTTAACATAACTCCTTGAGTATCTCCACTCTGATCAGCAGCATTACTCTCCAGCGTGAAACCCAGGTGTAAAAACATGCAGGACCAACTCTAAAGGACTAAACTAAGCTTTTTGCAAAGGACAAGTCTGACAAAAAACTGACTGAAGAGCAGCCAACTCTTTGGAATTCTAGTCCCCATTTTCCTCTGAGTTAGTGTTCAACTGTCACTTTAAAAGACAAGAAAGGAAGTTAATAAGGAGTAAATAGGGAAGGAAACAAAAAGGAATACYGAAAAACAAACAGAAATAAAAACCCACCCTACAATTACATGGCAGACTAGTGTCAGCCAGTCAGATGTGACTAACAACAACAACAAAAATACAGAGCATGTTTCATGGCCTATTTCTTCCTTCTCCCTTAGGTCTTTCCCTCTTCCTGAAGACTTAAATCCAAGAACCTTCCTTTCAATTCCCGCTTTCACTGTCCTCAAATTATCTTCTTGGGTACAACACAAAAGAACAAACATTCTACAAAGGGGAAATGGAACAACAAACTCTTTAGGTATGTAACTAGTTTGTGGGGTCTGCATATAGAGTATCTGAGAAACATGTAGTTACAGCAAACCTAGGACTCCAAAAATGTGAAGCGGCCCAAGAAGCACAGGGAGAGACACGGTTTCAATCTTCAAGGTCTAGCCAGGCAGACGTAGTGTTAACGACCAGCTGTGTTTGTTCTAGCCCACATGTGCTGGCATCTGCCATACATTTCTCTGTGCAGGGARGAACTTTTCCCCACAACATCCAGTAACTGCAAGTGTTCCCTAAAGGAAGCAAGACGTTGCTAATTTGGGGAAGTAGGGTGGTGGGTGACATTAGAGGCAGATGATTACAAGAAGAATCAAATTTCATATTTAAGAAACACTAACCCACAGCACTTGAGGAACATGAAATTTGAAACTGCTCTAGGAGATGGGCTAAGCAAATTAATTACAGAAATACTAATCAAGTATTTAGAATACACTATCAATAATGAAAAAAAGACTCTGCTGCCCATCCTATAGAAGGGAGGAAAAAAAACAACAACAAAAAAAAAACCCCACCACACACGAACATCTCTCTCTGTCAGGTAGCTCTGGAGACATCTCTGCAATAGATTTGATACCGAAATAGATTTTAAAGCCAGAAAATCTTCACAGTGAAGCCTGTCCTACATAGGAAAGGTCAAAAACTTCCAGGTTCTCTGCTTACTTTGGAAATAAGGTAGCAGCTAGACGTGCTGCTGCCAGCCAAAGCTGGTTTTACCACCCAATTAGGTTATTTTCCCGGGACGGTGAGCAAGCCCTGCTGCTCCTCTTGCTCATCATCGTAACGCTGCCCCGTCACAGTCAAATGAAAGGGGCAGAGCTTCCTTCGGAAGCAGGGGGATTATCTGGGGTGTCCTCAGCAATGCCCATTATCACCACTGTACTTTCAGCCTCTCCTGGCACCACGCACGACAGTAAACTGACTCCTCTGCAYGGCAGCACATGCCAGTTTCTGCAGTTGCACATCACCGAAACGGGACACCCAACTAATTTTGGCTGGGAGGACAGAGAACGTCAGAAACGCCAGCACTCCTAGCTTTATTCCCAGGTCTGTTCTAGGATTTCCTTTGGGGTCTTAGTCAAGTCATTGAGCTTCCCTGTGATGTGGGGAACCAAGCCAATGTTTATGAAGACCTCTTCATATATGCTAGAAATGCCAAATATTGTAACATACAGCTGGGAGCTATGAACAGCGGGCTGCAAAGCAAGTCACGCTAGCTAAACTGACCTCAAGATTCTTTCAAGAGCAGAAGTAAAACATCAGATAATGTTTAAATGGTCCAAGAGAACATCTGAGAAAAGGATGCACAATTTAGTTTTGCAATATGCACATATCATTATTATTTCCTAAACACAATTCATCCACACCAGTACATATTTTTAGTTTGCACAAATCATCTGCATTCCTACTGTGAACTACTCGCCTCAGTTTCAGAGTTGCTCACCTTTTGTACCAATCCATAGCTGGTCTTGCTCAAGTTTAAAGGTCAATCTTACTTTCCCCCCCGACTTGTTGTACATGCCAGATAATGGCACTGTTGGCAGGCGCTCCTACAAAGAGGCAGAGAGTCATGGTGAAAGACTTCAATAGGAAAAAAACTCTATCTTCAGCTTTTTGAGCATAAGGACTAACCACTTTTCAGCTAAGATGGCAAGAAAAGACAGAACCAGAAAAGAATGCCTCAAACCACAATTAATTATCTTTCCTGATTAAAAGTGTGCCATATACTTATTCACTTACCTGAACACCTTTAACAGAAGGCATCACATCATCAGGTTTGCCTTTATCCAACACTTTTCTGTGTTGCTACAATAGAAAACAGAAATTAGAATTTACAGAAATACAGCAGAATTCTGCAATTTATTTCCAGCAGTCCCCTTGACCATATCCCAATAGCACCACCTTACCACAGGTAAGGACTACTCACAGTCACTTATCACACAGGAAATGGTTAATTCTTAGAGTCAAGCAAACACTTTCTACAATAATCTTCAAATAAGTAAATAAGCTAAGCAAATCCCAACGTGATCCAAAGGATAACATCCTTTGGACAAGGCAACATACCACAACAGCCACAGCAGATTAGAGCAGCAGTAACTAAGAACAACATGCTCAGAGCTTTTCACTTGCTGAGTACCTTATAACAATGATGGGACTTAGACTGAACATGAACTAGGACGGATTTTAGAAAAACAAAAGTATGTTTCATAAGGCGACAGATCAGTGATGAACATTTTAACTTCTAATCACATTTAGAGGAAGGTGTGGGGCTGGTAACAGTAGCTGGACCTGAAAATCCTTCGTCAGCCCCACAACCCTGCAGCACAGCCTCCAAAACAAGTGCTGCGGCATCACACTCCACTGCTAGGACACGAGGGGAGTTTCACCAATCCTGTTCCGCTCAGTGCTGGGGCAGATGAACACAGCGCTGTTCGATTCACACCTCGAGGGCGGTTTTAAAGGTCAAACTATTTTACTGCAATGAAGATCAAGCAGCTTTCAGCTTCTACTAACCTGCACTATGTTTGAACTAACAGCTACCAAGTATTTCCACTACTTTCCATTTCTTGTTTGAAATGCTGGCACAACAGGCACTTTGCAAAGAAACAGCCTCCTTGGGCTGGATAATGGTTTTTGCCCAGTTAAGTGTTAGAGGAAGGGCTCCCTTAACAAGGCAAAAAACAAACAAACGAACAAACAAGCCTGTGTTACGCAGGACACCCAGTATCAGGAGACACCACCGGAGACCCACATAAATCCCACAGCTCCCCCACAGCAGGGATTATCAAGAAGCAACAACCTTTTGCCTGCAGAGCGGCTCCTTTTTATTTTCCTCAGCCTTGACCTCCTGCTGCGCCGCGTCCTTGGGCGTGTTCACGGCGAGGACGTCGTTGATGGTGGAGCCCACCACCATGATCTTGGCGCCGTTGGTCACTTTGATCTCCCGCAGCGTCTTCTCCTCGGGCAGGAGCCCCTTGAACATGACCTTCTGCATGGCGGGCGGGAGGCCTGCGGGGAGAGCGCGGTTGTGGCGCGGGCGGCGCGGGCGGGCGGGCGCGGGGCCGCGGGCCCACACCTGTGAGCGCGTGGATCCGCTGCTTGAGGTCGGCGCCGGTGCCGTCCAGGCGGAACTTCACGTCGTACTTGTTCTTGTTCCAGATGACCTTCAGCTCCACCAGCTCCGCGCCGCCCTCCGCGTCGCTGCCGTTGCTGACGGACACGTGCGGCGCCCCGGGCCGCTCGGGGGCCTCGGGCGGCCGCCCCGCCGCCGCGCCGCCCTCGCC